ATATATACATATATATACGTTAGATATACAACATATATATATATATGAAAACATTAACGTTAATAGTACTTAATACAGTTTCATACTGGTCAGTGGAAGAAATATTTTTACCCCAATTTTGGCAGTTTTCAAATTATATGTTAATTTTGATATATATTATATGAAAATGTCTACTTTCAGAAAAAAAAACGAAATTCTTCATATATCTATTGATAATTAAATTTAAGCTAATCGAGGAAATATAATTTAGTAATGTAATTAATTTTTATTTTATTGATACATAAAAAGTAAATTTTAACTTACAAAAACATTTCAAAGAAATATTTTGCTACTTAATTCATTTTTTTTGACAATATTATTTCCGTGTTTTATAAACATATCGTAAATTATATAATCACTATACATAGTATATATTCATTATAATAACAATAAATTTTGTAATTTCAATAGTTTGAATAATAATTTGAAAATAATAATAATAATTGAATGCAAATTGTCTTTCGAAATGCATAGATTTTTAGCATATAAAATATTTAAATAAAATGTTATACATATCAGTTTTTTGCAAATGTTAAAACTATACGGGTTAGTTTCTACTTTTCAACTATTATTTTATGTTAATAAAAAATTTCAGTGTTTGATTTGTTTCAACGTATTATAAATATAAATTTTCATTGTATGTTGGAAATTCTGGTCGACATTAATGAATATTATTTCGATTCGTAATAAAATAAAGATATTTGTATGAATCATTAATTGTAGGTAATTATAATGAAGAATATAGTAGTTATCTATAAAAGTAAATAAATACATTTATTTACAAATCATTATTGTACAGTATTATTATCAGTATTTTAAATTATAAATTATATTACATTAAATTATATTTATTTAAATAAATTTATATATATTTATAAAGAAATACGAGGAAACTGTGATTATATATATATTGTTTCAAAACTTTTATTTATATTACAAATTTTGTAACATAAAACTTCATCATGAATTAAAAATTTTAATATAAATCCTTTGTTCGTATATTTTAATGTCTAATTACCAATTTAAGGATTATGACTTTTTTTATTATTAATATTCGATTAAATGTGATCTATTCTACTTTTACTACTGTTAATATTGTTGATAAATTTAATGTACATTTTGTCTTCCCTTCGCAGTTTATACTTTTATTTACTAAATTAAGTATTATTTTATTTCATAAATGTTATGAAATAATAAAAAATTAGATTATCCCTGATACTTTGCACTAAGAATTTTATCGCTGGCGATATCATTTAAACAACACAAATGTATCCAATATGTACTTACGTGGAAAAATATAGTTAACTGTGGACATGCTCGGTATGATAAGCCGTTGCCAACATATACGAGTTATCTTTTGAAAGTGCAGTAGACTTTGCTTGTCAAGCAAGATTGAAGAAAAATCGAATTCCTAAAGATAAAAGACTTTTGACGACAAAATGCAAACTATAGCAGCAGACACAAGAAAAGGATATTCGCACGGTGACGACTGAGCAAATACCACTAAGCCAATATGCAGGTAAATCCGGTAGTAGTACTCAACGCGCCTTCCCGAAGCTCCGCATCTATTCATACACATGCTTATACACCTTGGTACGCTTGCACGTCCATACATGCATAAACATGCAAGCCCGATTGCTTGAACGAACCAGACCTCAGCTAAATTTAGACGTGTTCGCTCCACTCAGAACGCTCCCTCCTACGCGCAACTCGCTGTCTCATTCTCTCTCTCTCTCTCTCGCTCTCTTCATTTGTGCGGGGCATCTGCATTTCAATTTTGTGTGTGTGTGTGTGTGTGTGTGTGTGTGTGTGTGTGCGTGCGAGGGTGTGCATGAGTGGTTGATGTGAATTCTATACGCTTGCATACCCATAGATGAAAATATTGTTGCCGTATAGTAACTTCCATTCGATGCAGGTCGACTTGATGTCGTACTATAAAAATCTTTAATCGGATGATTGATCTTCCTTTTTTATTCAGCATTTTTCATGCCACTTAAGCTATATTTTGAAATAATGAAAAAGTAGAATTATAAGAGAAAGATTCCATTCTCGTGAAAGATCTGATTTAAGCAAACTAATCAAAAGTATGAATCTAAGGGGAATGCTAATGGACACATAAGATGGAAATTCTGTTCAAGAATAATATTATGTTTTACTATCTTAATCTATGTATTAAGGAGATATGGCATTGTCTAGGACCAAGAAATTCGCTTGTAATCAATTGTATCCATTAAATTCAATTATCCAAGGCAACGATTTCGTTAATATAACGCTTTAGACGCTTTTGTAATTAAACAATAAGGGACGCGTTCACGGAAATTAAAGGTAAATACACGAAGAGCATTTTAAAAAACTGTAACATGCTGAAGGTAATATAATGTAACTCTATTAAAATAAGAGACTTCAAGGAGAAAATTAGTTAATCGAATTATAGGGTAAAATTCGGTACTTAGAAACTTGAATTTCTGGAAGCTACTTACGGAAATTTGCTAGAAACTTACTTAGATTTTTCATTTACAAAATTTCTAGTAGGAATCTTAAGTATGCCAAATAATGAATATTCTATTTCAACCGATAAATAAGTACATGTAGACCACACTCACATTGGAATATCTAAGAGCACTTCAAGTCAAGACACTAAAAATTTTGTATTTTATATATTTCTCGAGAATTGCAATTGTGCTAAGCTTTAAACGTCCTATTTTAATAAAAAATTAAAAATTAATAAGTATAGAATAAGCTTGTAATCGTATTAATCATTAATATTATTGATGGTTATTTTCTTGTTCTGATTTTACAAGTGACAAATATGAAGTATCAACAGCTTCTAACAACCTCATAAAATCTAGATATTAATAAGAAGTGACTTTAAAGGGCATCTAACATTACAAAATTTTATTAAATACTAACGATATTTCAGATAACTTAGCTGAAAATGAAATTTAAGATTATAGGAATGTGCTATTTATTTGATTAAACGTTGCTTGTTAAGAATTTTTTATTTTTTTTCACAGAAAAGCAAAAAATTAATATATACATTAATATTGAAAATGTCGATATAAAAAAATTAAATATTTGTTATTTTATTATTGTGAATTGAAAGTAAATAACCAATATCTAAATATGGGTCTGAAAGTAAATCATCAGTTTAATTTCTTGCCTTAGACAATTATGAATTAAATTTCTTTCGTTTTGCACTACTTACCCATTTTTTGACAAATAAATGTTTAACGCATAAGTAAAATAAAATATGGTCCAAACAAACAGATTCTAGGAAACAGTAAAATAGTTCATAAAACATATAAAATTGTGAAACGATGTTTTCTTTAGCATAATAAATATTATTTCAGTAACATATAATTTTATATAATTTTATATAATAATAAATAATTCAACATTTATATCATTTTAATCAATTTTCGTTTATCCGCTAATATTATGTTTATATATATCGGTAATACAAAGAGCCGGAAGGCAGAGAAACATGATATAGGCCAAAAAATTGTTTATAACTTCTCCACAACAACAAGACTTCTCCATCTTTGAATTCATCATCTCTGATAAGCTCTTCTCTCGCATCCCCCCTTGAACGTCAATTTTTATCCTCCTCTCAAAGGAAAACGTGGAAGTGGAGAATAAGGATGAGAACGGGATGAAAGAAGAGTAACCACAGACAAATTTTTGACGTCCATGTTAATCTTTCGTTTAATAAAGGGCCGACCACATCTTCGGTTAGATTAACAGGAGTCAGTGTGGGTTTGAGGGCAGCCTAAGGCTAAGACGTCCGTAGAATCGCGTGTGTATACTGAACTATGTGTTATCGCTTGTGCAGATCGTAACGTAACCCCAAATATAAACGAAACGTCGCTACAATGTTTACATTATGAAGAACTCGTCTCGAAATATAGTGGACACGAAGGCGGGAGGCTCGTGATGGAGGATATACAGGCATCGTTCGAATTGAAAATCGATTGGTTGGATTTACAAGCCTGATACAGCCCATCACATAGTCCCATTTCATTTTATAGATAGTTTAGGCTTTGGTTTTGAAAGCTGACCAGAAAACTCTGTAACAAGAACAACACCGATTGATTTTATATGGCTTACGCCTGGCGAGCGTAGAGAAGCGCGCGACCACAAGTGTACACAAACGCAAAAGAATATGCACATTTGGGTGATATCATATGACGAGAGCAACTTAATATCAGTGTTTGAAAACAATACTGTTGAACATACTTGTAATCCATTTGATTAAATGTAAACTTGCCTTATAAAACGATTAATGAATAGATGATAAAAATATCTCATTGTAGAATAATTGTGAAAGCAGATTTAATACATATATATGTGGGCATATGTAAATTAATAATAAAGTATTACATTATTGCATAAAATAATTAAACAATTTTTATATGTCTACTTTGTAAAGTTAGTTAAATGATAATCTTAATTCTATACTAAAATACGGAATAGACTTATTGAATTAGTAAATCTCATTTTCTTATTTTGAAAAAAAAAACAGTGGCAATAGAAAACGATTTTACTATTTACGTAAGAAATTTAAAATACGTATGATTTTCTTAATAAAAATCCTAGAAAAATTAACAAATACTTAGTACTTCTTTTTAATTTAATATTCATAATTATGATAATCGAATATGCTTTGGAAAATATAACAATTATAGTTATCCATAGTTTGGTCAACATTTTAAATAGTTTTAAGAAATCGATAAAGATTCGGAATTTAACATAATATTATATAATCAACAAAATAACTTAAAATATGCATCTTATATACATTTTTTTTTAATATGAATAATTTATGTATAATTTTCCACGTTAATATATAAATAATACTGTAAACTTAAGATTAAGCCTAAATTGATTTTTGTATAGTATATATTTACTATGAGAATAAAAAGTTATGATGTTTTAAATAAATGAAAGTAAATTTGATCCGATTAAAACAACATATAATCCACATTATGAGGATGATCAACAGCTTCAATTATTGCTACATAAGTGGGAGTGGATAGAGTTGGAAGAGTTGAATAAGAGAATAATAACAAAAGCAATGTTGATTCAGATATTCGTTCTTTAATCAAATTTCTCTAATTAATAATATAAGTTCGATTTAATATTAAATTTAATTTGCATTTAAATCAATGCAAAATGTTGCTGAAACTATAAACTATATTTAACACATATGAATGTATAAAAAAATAGTTGTATGTAATAGGCATTACATTAATCTAGTAGTATAATACACAATGACTGTCTATTATTAAAATACAGTTTATTAATGACGTAAAAGAAAAATTGTGTTTAAATATATTATTAATTTTATTTCAATTATATAAATCCCATATTATAGTTTAAGAATATATTACAGGCAAGATTTAAAAATTCCATATTAATTTTTAAAACAACAAGTGTAAGCAAAACATTTTTTAATAAAGGAGTTTTAAAACTGATAGTTGCTATCCTAATAATATTTTTACATCATACATGGAAATAAAGAATTTCCGTAGTTCATTCTGCAGTAATATTTGGATTTATGAATTAATAGTAAATTTATTATTTTGCAGATGTCTATTAAAGCTCGGATAATATTTAGATTAGATATTTGAAAGATTTTAAGTGTATCGTAATTATAATACAGGATCATTTTTACTATAAACTTTAGTTCATTCTAAAACTTCCATACACTTATTCCAAAAATTCTAAATACACTATTAGTATGTGTAATAAAATAATATAGCATTTGCATAAATATATTTATCGTATAAAAATCTAGGAAATAAATAGTAAATGAAATATATAAAAAAGTGAAATAGAAAGCCATTATTTGTTTTAAATTTACAATATGTATATAAATGGTTAATTGTACAAAAAAAATTAATAGTTGTATAAAAAAATAATTAAGAAACACATAGCGATTGAATAAGTAGTTTTAAAAAATTGAAATTTAAAAAAAATTCAGAATATATTCGTACAAATAAAAAATGTGCATAAAATTCTTAAAATTATTCTCTCTATGAAAATTTCTTTTATTGTCCCTGTATTATCCTTAATAGCATAATTTAGTGTTCGTATGTCGGGTACATTATTTCGACCATTACTTTCAAAGCTTCTTACATTAAATTTAAAGTCACACAATAACGTGCCCGAAAATTGGCACCAAACTCAATATATACATGCAGGAATATTCATCAAGCCTAACTTTAACCCAAAACTCTTGGGTAGAAACATGAAAAATGGGTGCGACTTACCGTGGTTTTCTCGAGACACCGCAGTAAGTGATGATGCTGAAGCTCGAAGATATCCTCCTGCTTGTAGTTTTCATTCATTTCCAGGCCGCTTTCCTGGGCTGCGAGTCGCGCCTCTGCGGCCTTCTTTTTGCTCACGAATGCGGCGCCGCTCGATGCCTTTGCAATCCTTATTCGCGCCAGTCTGGCTTTCTGCAAGTCACAATAGAATAAAGTCATTATTGCTGCTACCTTTGTTCGATCATGCAAATACGCGTTTTTATCAAAATTGTCTTGCACAGCCATTAATCTATAATATTTTTGTATATTCGGAGGCGTAAAGAGAATTGGGTTTAAATAGATTAAAATCTCATTGCTGAACATTATATTGTATGGAAAGCACCATTGCTATGTAATGCTAAATATACATTTATAAAATATGTACTATTAATCAATGATTTAATTATTGCTTTGTTAATGTAAATAATGTAAAATGTAAATATGTCATGTTTTATTCTCTGTAGTTAATATTTACAATTATTACGTACAAACTCTGATTATGGTTATTCAAGCTTGCAAGTCTTCTAGATAGTAATACTCTCATATCTTGAATACGTTTATAAAAAAAAAAGAAAAAAATACACTTAGCTATTGTGCATCTTCAATCTTCATATTTTTCAATTTTTTTAATATAAGATTTCTTAGTTTAAGTGCTCCATTAAATTAAAGCCAACACAAGATTTCTCAATATCGATTTAAAAGCAATTAATAGATAATCATAATTACTATTGTTACTATTATTATTATTATTATTATTATTATTATTATTATAAAACAAAGTTATTATTTATTAAAATACAAATATATTACATTCCGACATTTAGAAGTTGAATCTTCATTCCGATAAAATATACAGCTATTACTATTAATCATTTTCATTAATAAAAAATAAACCTTCCAGATTCAAAGAAATAAGGGGACAATTTTAAAACGTCAAATTTCTTACATTTATCATTTATGATTTATAATATAAAACCATGTATAACAACCAATTCCATTAGTGAATGTGGCAAAATGAAAAATGATAAATCTATTGAAATGCGACAAGAAAAACAATAGTACAACAATGTAAAAAATTAAAAACTTATAAAAAGATAAAAAGAATCTCTGAAATTCAAGTATCGATACGATTAAATACCTGACAGTTAGTCATTGAAACACTTAATTTATTATACACCAGTGATGCCTGACAGTCTATATACAACTTTAATTTTTAAAGAACCTCGGATATTTCATTATATTGTAAAAAAATTATTACTTATGAAAAATGTTTGGTTTGAAAGATTAATATAAGTATTTGAGGCTCGTAAGGGGAAAACAATTTTATAAATACCTGAATTTTAAATGTTACTTATATATGTTTAACAAATTTATCCTAACGCGCTAATGACAACTAATTTTAGGATAAATAGCATATCGTTATTAATTACAGGATGACATATGGGGCCTCATCATTTGATTACTAAACGTACTTAGCAAAATTAATAACCTGTTATATTTCGATACTCTTGTTCTAGATATGAAAATGAAGGTGAGTCTATTAACCATAGAGCCGAGAATTTAGACAGCCATGCAATTAGCTTCATACAAAGAGATACGCATGTACGCTCTCGAAGTGAATCTTTAGTAAAATAGTCGTTGGTTTGTAATTACTATCGCGATCAGTAGCATAATTACGGGTTTGGTTGGCTTTGTTCGACGCGTACGACGATCCTTATGGAGCCACGCCCAATTGGTTGATGACTTGTAGATCAAATTGCATCATATGTATGGCTTTACGCACGGATTAATGGCCTCAAAGGACCCGATGATATCGCAGCCAATAGCCTCGAGTGTAGCACATTGCCTATCCATTGTCAGATGGTTGAATTGCGCTTGAATTATATGGTGATTGATATCACCCAAGCAGAGGAAACTTTTAATGCGTATTTTGGATTTGCGATAGCTTACTAAACAAACATTGATGCCAATGTAGTTTGGTTAAATAAATCATTTTTAATAGAACCGAAATTATTATTATTATTATTATTATTATTATTATTATTATTATTATTACCTATTAAAATTATTGAAAGATTAATTTTACGATAATTTTTATAACACTGCTTGTTTCACAAAAAAGTAACAACTTATTATATATATTATTAATAAAATTCTTAATGAAATACAGTAGGGTAAAAGGATAATAATTATTACAAATGTATTTATAAACTATATATATATAGTTAATATATATAGTGATACAATGTAATATTTCTGAATAAATGCGTGATAATTATTAGCTTTTTAACATTCCATAGTTTAATAAAAAATTTTCAACCATAATATAATATATAGACATAAGTTTATAGATTTTCAAAATTAGATTATCAAAAAGGAAATACTTTAAGAAATAATAAAGTATTATTACAAATTCTATGTATAATGAACGCGTTATTATTATTAATAAATAATAAAACGTACTTAAACGATTGTTGAAAATTAAATAATTTTGTCTTATAGTACAAAAAATTTAGATACAGTTTAATTTAACACGAATATTAAAATTTCGAATATATTGATTTTGTTATAATAAATATCTACACCCCCGTTCTTCCCAATCTGTGTCATCAAATTTTAAAGATTTAAACATTTATTAGATACGTTTTGAAAGATCTCAATATTTTGTTTGCACTGATACTAACCTTTAGAAAGAGATCTAAGATGAATGAGCTGTAGCTATAAGTAGAAGAAAAAATAAAGGAATAAAATATAATATCATCAAGTTTCAAAATGTTAGAACTTGAAGTAGTTTAAATTGGAAATTCCAGTAATATCTTTTCAGTATTGAGAAAAATATCGCTGAATAGAAGTGACATTCAATGTCGATAAAACGCTTGTCATTACAAGTTTAGTGTACTGACCTAGGAATATTTCACACTTTTGGACGGACCACACTATAACTATACATTGCCAATTAAGGATTGCAGCTTCGTTAGAGCCAAACCAGGCCGCGCAAGCGACTAGAAATTAAAATCGGTACATAAGCTTCTCTGGACTAAAAGAAACTGGTTGTGAACATAACCATAAAATGAATCCTGCGTCATTGCTTTTCAGCAGTTCTCTGTCCCTTTGCTCTTCTTCCTGCTTCCATATATTCCCTCCTTTTTCACTCAAAATATCTCATATAAAAATATTTCCTTTCATACTTTCACGTATTTCTATTAGGATGTTTCAATAAATATCAATATCTAGCAATTTCGTGTTCGACTGCATTCACATAAAATTCAGGCAATATTTGCTAGATGTGATATTCATAGAAATTGCTTTGACCATTTGAATATTTATAATTAAAAAATTTCTCAAATTTCTTTTTGTTTTGATTTATAATTTTTTATTACTTTATTTATTTTTGTGAAAAGAATAAATAACATACCAAACTAAGTTTAATTGTCTAAACTATTATAGAAATGTATAAAACTTTGGTTTAATCTGGTCTAAATAATGATATTAATTATATTTATCTCCTATCGTATTAACAAATGGATTTTTTAATAATCGCGTGAAGGAAAATTAATTATCTTTTGAAATATTTATAAATTAAAATTTGCAAATTCGTCACTGAGTTTTATTATTTCATCCATCAAATGTATATTTATCTTTATTTATCATGGTAGGCTCAACGATTACATTTATTGATTTCTCATTTTGTTCAATGTCTGTACGTCTAAAAACTATAAAAATAAATTAATCAAACTGATGATATAATTTAGATATTTGATATCTGAAGTACATTTAATTATTTAATAATAAATATAAAAGGTAGAAGAAAAGAACATCATTTAAGTCCATTTAATGCTCATATATAATTGCACGTAAATATATACTTGATGTAATTTAAACTGTATTTATTATATTTGCAAATATATACATGATTAATGTAATACTGTATATACATAATTTACTTTTCGAAAACTAATAAGTCCAATTATATATACATGAATAAGTATTTTAATCATAAACCAATAAATCTAAAGTAATATTACTGTAATTCTTATCAGCGAAAACTATTTTACCTTAAGCAGTAACTCGCTTGAACAAAATATAGTTCCTCTCATTACTAAGAGTTGACACTTTGATAACAAAAGGCTCGATTTAACTAACCTCGGAGTAAAGAATCTTTCCTCATCAATCAAAGTTAAATGCTATTATACATTAAACTTGCAAGTCATTTACATCTTCTAGATTTTACTAATTCTCATAACTAACGACATTATAACCACAATACAATAACACCGAAACATTAATACGTTATATAATCGAACGCTAAAACGTTATGAAATTTATTCTCACTCAATGTACTTTTAAAACTATTCAGCCTATTTTTAATATTCTTAAACACTATTATTATAAGCTCCTATCTTTTTGTCAGCCCATTTTGTTATTTTGTTTTCTAGCGAATAGATTTTAATTATATAGAAGCTAGACTATTAAATTTACAAAAACAGTTGTTGAATTAAATAAATATAATCTTTTGATGTCATGATGATGTAAATATCCATTCCAAAAGAAAGAGGAAACAATATTATAGTCTATCAAGTACGTAGAAAAATATACGTTGCATAATTTCCTTAGAACCTTTATCCTGCTGTCTTTCTTACCACTTGTAATATTTCTATACACAAAGTAAAAAATAAAATAAAGAATAAACGACTTTTTCCTTTAGACCATTCGTCTGAATCGTATTTACTGCGCTACTCCACTGCTCATTTCTGACTTTAAGGGAAGCTCATTTAAAGGAAAGCGTCTAATACGAAAGTGTTTTACAAAAAACAGTCGTAGTCGTAGATATATTTATCATGTCTCTCTAAATTGTAAAAAAAAAATATTTACCATTATTTATATCGTCTATATGCAACGTTTTTTTAATACAAAAAAGCAATTATGTCATCTCCACTCACTACAACGAAAGTCTTTTGTTACTCAATGGACATTTTCAAGATTTGTATTGTTTAAAAAATAATGATATGAAATTTACAGACACAATCACTTTAAGCTTATAATGATATTATCGTCATATGATTTTTAATTTTTGATCCTTAATTGATAATTATGTCCTTATAGTTATCAACTGTTTGAAATGAATTTTTGTCACTTAATATTTCATTGATTCA